TCGGATACATCAGCTCTTCGGGGCGTATCGATCTTCATTTCACCGACGCGCCGCGTTCGCGTTTACGCGGAAACAGTCATTCATTGTCACACGTCGCAATGAAACGCAAACGCGGTCGCACGTTCGCATTGGGAAATCCCACGATTTACAGTACGGAAAACGTGCTGCGTTTGCGCGAAATCGCGAGTTTCGATCAGAGTTCATTCTCGTACATCCTATTCGCTGGGTTAGATTGTGTCAGTCTTGTCACCAAGATCCTCCACGTAAATCAGAGATTTTCATAAGCTCGCACCCGACAGAGATAATAATTTTTTTAAGAGCATTTTATTTGGCTATACGCGCGCGGAATAAAGTTTTGATAAAATATCAATCGAGTTGAAACACTCTAAAAATGTACAATATTTCTGTCTTAAAGTTGATATCTGAAATACTGTGGATGTATTGCCTAAATTATTTAAATAAATTTATTTAAATATGGACAACACTTAGTCGTATGAGTATTACGGCAGATTGGAGTTAAAAGAAAGGGAAAAAAATCGTCTATAAGACGCCGCTTTTAAAACTCGCAGAATCCTTAAATGGTCTCAGCTTATTTTAACTGCGCTTCTTCCATTCTCCGCCTTCTTCGCAGCCTTAAACATTCATGATGTGCGCTGTTTAGCTCTCCTACGTGTCGAGTTGTTCTCGTTAAATAATTGCTCGTTCATGGCGCGGTCGTGGCACGATTTTCCTATCTCATTTTCCTTCTTTCCGGAAAGTGAGTATTTAATCTCGGTTAAGAGTATCATTACCCTTCTGCCTTTCGCCTCTTTCCGCCGCAGATGGACGGTGTTTTGCAGGCGGTTCAACAGAAAGCATCTATACTGCAGTAATGAGGTAATTAAGTCGTCAGTGTACAGACTGCGAAAGACGCGATCTTCAGGGAGGCATGTGTCTTCTCAGTTGTCTCAGGCGTATCCAAAGATCTCCGGTAATATTTTATCCTCAATTGTCAGTGTAAAAAACTGTTGTATTAATTGCGTTTGGTCAAATAATTTTATGCGTTGAAATGTAAATCCAAAAAACTCGAAGCTGGAACTACTTTCTAGCCGCGTAGCGATACTTGCGCAAGAACACATTCGATCGAAACACCAATAAATCACTCTGACCGTCAATATTTTCATTTTTATTTGATCCGACTTCTCGAGGATTGTGGTTTAAAAGGACAGATAAAGCCGTTGTCGTCTCCGTAGAGTTATCGTCGGCCCTCTCTGTCACAGCACGGGAGCGATTTTCGTTCACCCGCGCGATCGTTTTTCTCAGGTTTTCCCTCGCGAGTTACACGTCACAATCTCAAATAATTTTTACTCGATTGTCAGAATAAAATAAACGTTTCTGGTTACACTAAGGTAAGTGCTGTTTTTTTATCGAATATAGTTCCGATAGCTATTTCGCCAAGTCCGCACTTACGTTCAAGCCGGCGAAAAGTGTAGCGAACTACAGTTCGTCCGCCCGCTAACAATCAGGAAAGAAAAATAAAAATAAATTGATTAGTTGGTTATTCAAGAACTTGAGATATAAGAAAAGATAAATTTTTAATAATAAAGCATTTAATGATCAAGTGAAATTATCGACAATTGAGATTTCCAGATATTTGCATAGAATATTATTTATACTAAATATTGTAAGTATAATTTGCATTAATTAATTATTTCTTGTAAAAAAAACAAGATCTACGAATGTTGCGAGACACTTTTTGAATCGCCTAATTGCAAATTGGGCGTGGTATAATTTTATTTTACGACTCGCACGAAAGGAAAAAATATTTCCATCTGCGTCGCACTCGTCCTTTAATCGATTCAAGTGGAAGCGTTCTTTAGGTGCTCCTCGCTACGAGCACGAAAAGTGGAAAACTTCGTAGAGCACTCCAGATTCCTATACTTACGCGACGATTCTATATGCGCGCTCATCAGATGTACAACTATTCCAGAAGTATGTCTCGTTTATTCGGTCTGAATAGAAAATTAGCGCGGCATATTGGATTTTATTACATATTTGCGCTGACGACGAGAAAATAAATTCTACGTACGGAGAGAGATGGGAGAAAAAGAACGTACGGACACGAAGTAATAACACAAGGCAATAATATGGCAGATGGGAGAGAGCGGCTGAAGAAATGAAGGGCTAGAAAAGCAGGAAAGTCAGAATCGTGCATGCCGGCAAATGGAATAACTTCTAACAAAGTTTCGTGTCTAGTTAAGCTAAATGAGAGTAATTGCCGTTGTTATTATTATGAACGCGTTTCTCTTTCGGCGGAACGCATTTATATGCGAAAATCAAATTTCAGAGCCCAGGAAATGGACGCAAGTCACTCTTCCCCTCAAATTAGACGGGATTAGTCGGAATTTATAGGCGCCTATCAGAGCGCCGTTATTTCGGATTAGCGATGAAAGCAAGCTGTTCGTATCGAGTGTCAGCGTTACGGTGGGATAAATGAAATTAGTTTCGTAGTAAGATCCTTAGCTCAAAGGAAGGAAGAAACAGGTTTTGCTGCACGATACGATAAATTTTGGCAGTCGCGATCGAGTGCGACAGCCTTAGTTGAAATAATCCGAGTAAAATTAATGGAAATGCTTCGAGGCGAAGATTCTTCTGTTTGATACAAAAATGCGTCTAACTAGATAGAAACGTGTAGATATATGTATTAATAATATCCTATTAGGAAAGAGATTAACGAGTATTTTATTACAAAGTGAATCGGATACAATCGGATCAAGCGAAATTTCGCTACTTAAAGCGAATGACAGATTAAAGCAGATCGAATTGCACGCTTCGGGAGAGCTTAAGCTATCGCGTAGACAAGTGGATCATAACGGATAATCCTCAAGATTGCTGTATTATTTCATTATCGATTATGTTTTCATAAGGAACTGCATGGATCAGTTGGCGTTACATGATTGACCGCTTAACCGGGAACAACAATTGAACTAATTGCTTTAAAATATTAACATCACCGCTGACAAGCAATGCGTTCAAAACTTTTATAATTATTTTCTCTTTATTCGCACTGTTTTTTCGTCTTTTTTTTTTTTGTTGCATCCACCTTACATCATCTCTTCTTCAGTTTCCCTCTTGAAGTTCTCACCGTTGTGAAAAATGCTCAACACGCACTGTTAGCCACAAGTTATGAGAAAGGGATCGCGAAAAACTTTTCTCGCTTGGGCCTTGATCTACAGCGCTACAAATAAGAAACATTGTACGTCCGGTGAAATCTTGATCTCGGTGAGAACTCGGTGTCGCGCGGGTCAGACGGGCGTTCCATCTCGCCCCGGTGACGTCGTCACGTCTGACGCTGACATGCCGGCACACCGGGTACACTCCGAGATGAAGTATTGGACATATATAAATAGATTTTTCAACGTCGCTACCTGCCTTCTCGCCCCTGCGCACCTTGTACATTTTTTTTCCGCCGCCGCCGCCGCCGTCGCCGTTGCGCGCTGTATTTATTTTCCCGTTTTATTTATCTCCTCTTTTGCCGATCCGACAGCGATTCAATAAATGACAAAGTTCACTGGAGGTAAGCGGCTTTCGGAAATCTCCGCCGTGTCGAAACTTCATTGCTGCGATACCCATAAACTTTGGACGGATTATCAATTCATTATCTCGATAACTGATTCGCTCGTGTCTGTTTGTACATGCATCGTCGAGGGTTAAGCAGGTATATATCAGATGAGTGAGAAACGTGTACACACAGGAGGATTTGTAATTAACGCCGTGTACCAAGTGATCGCTGTATAATTAACGAAATTACGTAAGCGAGCAACTGGGTTAGCACACGATGGAGTAACGAGCGCGGTCGCCGTATTTAATCCGAGTAAGAAAGTATCAGACATGTAAGATAAACGATACTGACGGCAAAGTGTCGTAATTAATGTTCGAACAAGCGTTAATGAATACGGAATTAGTGTAACTTTGCGACTACGTGACATTTTGCCAGTTGGCTTGCAAGCCCGCGACGTAAAATTAATGTAATAAATATTAAAGCAGTTAATTATATCTGGCATTCGCCAAATTTATATTATTGATGCATGAGCTAGCGGCAATTTGTTCGGTAATTTATATAAACTAACGAATTACACATTTGTGGATAACGGGATTGTTGCCGCGAATCGCGGTGCGACCGAGAAACTTTCTCATTTCCGACTATCTGCTACTATTATACTGGAAATATTCCCTTTTCTCTTCCGTCACCGCGTTTATACGGCAATTGACGTAAAATCGAATCGCCGACACGGGACCTTTGAATGAACAGTGCGGCGTGCCGGCGATATATCTCTCGATCCGTCGCTCTTGAAACTTTGTAAGTAAATTATTATCAGTTTGACTTATATTAGACCGAAGTGAATAAATAGAACTGCAATGAATAACTGCATTGAATCGCGTTACAGAACTTTACTATGTTATCTCTTATTGAATCGTGCATATTAATCGATTTCGGTACAATTCAGTATACTTCGATATTGCAAATTCTGTATTATGCAAGATATTTTCTTTGGAAAGTATCGGTTAAAACGAACGCATTTAATTAAAATGTTTAAATTGGCTCTATTGGCCGCTCCACCACACTGAATCGACGACACCTGCTCCTCGCAAATTTGTTGATCAAACTGTGAACACTTGCTCCAATTTGGTCGTCGTGAAAAGTTACCGGCTCGGTGTTCGGTTTTTGGAGATAGAAATTATTCGAAGTTAGTTGTTTGTGAATTTTTATCGAGACATTTATCTTTTGAAGCACTTTGCTCATTTTGTTATTCCGCACTTCGCGATTCAAATCCACAATCTGGTGATACTTCGACGTTATTTATTTAACACGATTTTAAATTGTTTAATACAATTATTTTGGAACGTAAATCCATTAAATTTGATTTATCGATATTACTTGTTATATTGCATTTGCGCCCTTTGAATTGCTTCCTAATCGAAGGTGTTTCACGTCGTAATTCAATATATTTGTTTTTCAGTTTTTAAATCGTGAATGTGAGTTCATTGCCTGCCATCATCCAAAAAGTACTGTTCAACCAGCTACAAGACTATCACGTGCCAGAGATAAATAGAAGGAAGGAATGCAAACGCACAGCTAAAAAATATAAGAGCTACAACTGAGTGAGTAACTTTATTTGTGTAGTTCGTGAACTGCCTTTAACACTTTACGGGTTAGCGAACGAAACTAGACTATTTTCCGCGACACTTATAAACACTTGATAAATTAGAGACTTTTCTTTGAGTTTACAATAAATAATTTCGGGTTTTATATCGGTGATTTAATAAAAATAAAAGAAGCTAATGAGTCGATGCTAGAAAATTTATTTTAGACGCTTGCATAAATTTCTAAAAGAAAAGAGATATAGTATACATTGACTGTTCGAAATAACTTTCGGTTGGCAAGCCTTCTTCAAATATTTTATTTATTTCCGAAATACGGTCATCACAATAAATCTTAGTGTTTAGTATGATTTGTTTTTTCGGTGATCTAATATTTTGCACTGCAAACTTTGCAGGTTTATCCTTTCAGGTTTGTGTTTATCAGGCGATTTAATTGCCTTAAATCGTATTAAATTCGGACGAAATTATTATATTTTTTCCTTTGAATTTTACTTATTCTACTACAATATTATTTATTATTATTTATTAGTTTAAAGTTTCTCGTGCTTCACACTTTGAGAGTAGCTGCGACCTATTTTACTAACGCAGGGAGTTGGCATTTTAGAGGGCGGTCTGTGAGATCAATTAATCATATACTATATTTTGGTGTATTATTACTCATTAATTTACGAAGACAAATGGCTTACTATATGCACGTTACGGTAACTAAATAATTTCCACTCCTAGAAAATACTACCTATTGTTATACATGAACTATGAATTATATAAAAACAATATATTGTATGAGACTTTAGCGTATAATTATATAACTTTTCTGAAATGTGAGAACATTGAGAGCTTTTCAAAGAGAATTTTACATATATTTATATCACACAGACTATTCGAAATACCATTAGAAGTAACGTCATGAAATTTTATCCTTGTAACGTTGCACGCTGATATATAATAATTATTAAAAATATTAAATACATGAATGTAATATTTATCATGAGAAAATCGTGTTTTAACTTAATAATATTATTCATCGGTCTTTATTTACATGGAAATTGCGATAAAAAATATCCCAACAATTTTTTATGCTAATTATACTTCTTGTGACGAATCAGTAGTGACTCATTATTATTCATCTTACAGAATTTGAAGCAAAGCGTCACGTATGCGACAGTAGTACAGGTCGCTATTGCAGTTAGTTGTATATTGCACCGGTCTCTCGGACGTCAGAGCAATACAAAGCGTAACGCTACGGGCAATGCAGTAGTAAAGGCAAACGCCGTGGCGGCCTTCCTCGCGGTGGAAACAGTACGCAACGCCACGGGGCTCCGGCTACGGCCGTTGCGGCCGCCGACCTACAGTCATCTTCCAGAATAATACCGGCTGTCTTCTCGTACGAGTAGTATTTCGCGAAATGAGTGCTGGCCGCCCCGGGAAACGGCACGCTCGAAACTGTTAGACTGCAAATTCGCAACTGAGACATTCGCGTAAAAGTGTAATCTCGAATAACGACGGTGACTACATATTATTAAATATCTATTCCAAGCAAAGTGTCAGTAGAAATAATCATTCTATAAATGTATATTATTATCTAATTATAAGACAGCGGTACTAGCGGAGTATTAAAGGATAACAAAAGTGCAATTATTTCTGCCAGATTTAGCTAGCATTTCCGTCTCTCGATCGGCGACCTAACGAGATCAGAGAAATATCCGTTATCATGATCGTAAACCCGCATTACGCACCGGATCTGCGCCGGATATTATGGTTAGGCGAATTCGAATGCAATGAGTGGATTGAGGCGCGTTGCGCGTATAGGATGGGATAGGGTGTACCTCGAGCCGTACCTCGGATGAGCACACAAGCGCATCTCTTTGGTCCATTTGCGACTATAGTCGATACGCCGTTCCCGTGAGGCACTTTGTTAGCCCCCCGTGCGTGTGCGCGTAATCGCGCTCGGTCTCCTACACGGCCTCGGCTGCATAATACAATCTCACTCACGCACGGCGCACGTACACGAGCGAGTTCTGCAACGTTTCACCGTGCCGTCACAGACAATTTATCGAAGCTCGATCGCCATTGGCTCGCAGCAACTTTTGCACGGAAAATCGAGCATGATTTGAAGGCAGGCGCGGCCTCGACAATGCCGAATTTCGTGGCACGAATAATGCACGGCGATTGAAATATCGCGTATTTTCTCTTTTTCAAATGCAGTATCGTTATAAAGAATACTTTAATTGTGTTTCGCTGTACGAATTTAATTATATTATTGATGAATGAGCGAAAGGCGGGACAATAATTATAATTTATGAATTAGTCCTAATTGTTGTTCCACTTTCTTTGTGTAAAAAAGTATTATAAAGACATTTGAATATATCTCAGTTGCTTTCCGACTATAATAATTGATAAAAATGAACAAATGAAACAGATTTTATAAAATCAATCGTCGCATTATTATTACAGTTAGAATAGTAAATGAAGAGTGCAAAAAAATTTTTATTTTTGCGCTCTGTTTTTCATCCCCGAACCGTCTCAGTAATCCTCGGACTTTCGTCGTACTTTGCGTGACTAAGACACTCGATTTGTGAATTATTCAGTATCCTAATGGAGGAATAATGCCTCGCAACGCCTACGGTTGAAGCGTCAGGACGATTAGAATCCATTTTACCGTGTCGGCCCTCATGGCGGTTTTGTTGCCCAAGGGACCTCCACTCCGCCCACGTCTCATCTAATCGATCCTTCGACTTCTGGCGTCCGGGGAGTACGTCTTAATCTTCCCCCGTTCTTACTGAATTGATCTTTAAAATATGAGGATGAACCTTTCATTGCTTTCTGCTCGAGCGTTATTCGGATAAATCGTGTTTTCGCTCTCCCAAATTAGGTAATTTATATTTAGCGGATCACATGGCTCATCGACTTAAGATTAATTGAATTTGCGATTTATTAATATTTTTGCGCTGAATACATTCAACTCATTAAACGCGTAGTTGATATAAATCGCGCATTTTCATAGACAAGTTTGTGTGAAATTCTGAAAGAGAAATTATTTAATTATTCGATACAAAAGAATATACGCAAGGGAAATAATTTCGTTTATGTGATTGTTTATTTTATCGCGTAATGCCAATGATATTATATATCCTTTATATACGTAATTTTGTTATCGAGATCAGTGACGAAAACGAGAGAAAGATCGAAAATAACTGCAGCGCTGCGAAGGTGCCGGATATTCTTCACTATCAAGTATCAGATAGCGGGCGAGTTGACGGATATAATAAATCACGCCGGATTTCTCTTAATTCCTTGAAGGAAGAGTCTCCCATTTTTGCATCCTCTTTACAGCGCCTACGTCTTTTTTTTAATATATTTTTCTCTCGCTTTCCATTTTCAATCTTCTTCGGCAGCCATTTTGATCTCGACGAACCGTAGTTTTTCAATCCCCTTTTCGTCATTCACTTTCTTCTGTTCTTCTATCCCATATCTTACATAATGCGTCGTTTCCGGTGCTGTAGAAGACATTATTGTCGGCAAAAGCAAATGCATCTATTTCAAATGAGCATTAAACTCGATGATTGCATTCGCGATCGTATATATAAATACAAATATTTTCGACAATCAAAAGTAAATAATAGTGTCTTGAAAGTATGAGTCTTTAGAGAGAGAGAGAACACATTTTCTGTCCAAATCGAATATGCAATATGTCTATTGTCTGGAGAATCGCGGTGCCCGTGTTTGCGTTGCAGATTTTGAAGACTGTTTATTTGCATCGCGCAATGTACTCTGAGAAGCTTTTCGCAAGCGAGCGCCGGTTAGCGAGAAAATATTCGTGAGAAAATATTTAGACGCAAATACTAAATTGATATCACGCTTTCCTATTTCTGGACAGAAACATGTGAAAGCGCGTATTTGCACAAAGTGCGCGAGTAGGTATTCAGTTATCGCTATAACTGCGGGATGTTTTATCGTTGTGCAAAATGTAGTCTTTTGTGCGGAGGGCTTTCGCGAACAGCTTTGCTCGTTATTCCACCATGCTGCGTCCAATACTGACCTATACTACTGCGGGGGCATTGTGTGGTTGAGCTTTGGTGGAACGGAATGTGCAATGAATTAGTCATTAGCAGATCCTTCACCTTGCTTCGCTTGCAGGCATATGTACTGTCTTATGCGGAGGATATTCGATAACTATTTAGTGGTCAATGAATTTCTTCAATTTAACGAATAATTCTTTCACGTGAATAAAATAGACGTTGGAGAAATAACGACAGACTGGCGTGGCGGAATAAATACCTGGCAAAGCATGAAGCAACCCTTCTGCAGCAGCAAATATGCAGCTGCTATTTTGAGAAATATTTTCGTATCCAATATAAAACTTGGCGTAAATTCATGATGTATTGTTTAACCACGCTATTGTACAGATATCAGAATTTTTGCAAGGAAATTGTATTATGCATCTATACATGTCTTCGGCTAATTGATTAATTTATAATATTAAAATCACATTTTAATCATGTGTTATTGACGTGATTTTATCTTTTATTCTAGCATGACAGATTGCAATTCAAAATCCAGATATATCGTCCCGATATATTTTACTGAAACTTCAGGTTTTCAAAAATTAGACAGTTAAAAAGAATTTTATGAAAATTGAAAGTTATAAAGTCATCTAAACATCTTTGTCTTTTATTAAAAATTAAATGTTATGAATTATAAGTGTACTATACATATATCGCATAAAAGAAATTTCTCTGTTAAAAGTGTTGATAATCGCTAAGCGTTCTTCGATGTATTATATTAATCTCTTAAATCATCCCAACGGTCTTCACATATGTTCGCGCGATTAAAAAGTTAACACCTGATGTTCGAAGCGATATTGTAACGTTTTATTACCTTCTTAGGTCAAGCTTTTGTGCGATAAGACATCAATAAGAGTTCCTGGCTGGAGGAGTGGGTTGAAGTGGATCATAAAAATGGACAACGGTTGCGAGGTCGGGTCGGCGATATTAACGTTG